CTTAGGAACACTGCGGCAAAGAACTCGTTGAGGAGTTCAGCCTTGTCCCCTCTGTCTGTCACCAATTGTTTCTGCCCATTTAGCAGGGGTCCTATTCCTCCCTGGGCCTTCCTTTTACTCCCAATATATCTAAAAAACAATTTCTTGTTGTCTTTTACTTGGGTTGCCATCCTCAGCTCCATGGCAGTTTTGGCCCGTCTAACTGCCTCCCTACAAGCACGAGCAGAGGAGGGATATTCATCTTTGGTGATCTCTCCCTGTCCACTTTTTATGTGCTCCCCTTTTGTCCTTTAGGCTGCCCTGGATTTCTCTGGTCAGCCAGGGAAGCCTCCTGGCCCCTTTCCCCCTTTTGCCTCGCTCGGGGATCGTCTTGCTTTGTGCCCGAAGGATCATTTCCTTAAGGCACAGCCACCCTTCTTGGGCTCCCATCACTTCAAAACTCCTACTCTGCAGTGCGTCCTTGACTAATCGCCTGAGTTCATTGAAGTCAGCTTTCCTAAAGTCTAGCACTTTCACCCTACTAGTTACCTTACCCACTTGACGTCTTATGGTGAATTCTATTATTAGGTGATCACTGTCCCCCAGATGGCTACCGATCTGGAGGTCCCCTACCATGTCGTCCCCCATTGCCAATCTGGATTTAAAAATCACACTGGATGAATCTACATGTGCAATTAATGTGATGCAATAAAATCCCGAGCATTCTGAGCACGAGTGAACTACCCCCAAGTGCAGCGTCTGTGTGTGTGCCCAGGAGAGCAGCAATTTGAGCTGGGGCAGAGCAAGCCCCCAGCCAGCTGAACTGAGTGGGTGCCATTTACATCCCCCCCACCGGTCAGTATGTACATGTGCATTTCAGCGCAGTAAAGTACTCCGCTCTAAGACAGAACTATCCCTGATAGTACTATCCTACAGCGGAGTTAGTTTACTGTGCCCTAATGCCAATGCATGTGTAGACGGTGATGCTTTACTGCGGAGCTAATTAGTCTACTCCACAGTAAAGCGCACGTGTTGATGCATGAGTATTAAAAACAAAGGAAAAAAATACAGTTCAAGTAAAAGCAGAGCTACATGTAGCAGCAAATGTAAATTCAATTTGTTTTCTCCCATTTGTTCCAATACAGGGAGAATCTGGTGTTAGAATACAGACACCATATTCTGAGATCAATGCCAGTCGCAGCCACAGGAATTGTCAACACTTCTTAAGCAGAAAATATATTTACAGTACCTAGGAAAAGTACAATAATCATTCTAGCTTTTAAGGTGTTTAGAATTTTAGAAAGTGGAGAGCTGGATTTTTACTAGAATCTTTTGGGAACATTAAAAAGGATCTTCAAGAAAATACCTTTGTAAAAGTGACAGGAATGCTAGCATCCAGCTGTATGTGATCTGCGAGTTCTGTAAACTGCTGCTGCTGTTTTTGTAATGTTTCTAGTAGCCTTGTAATTTCCTGTTTGGCCAACACTACTCTGCAGTCATCCTAAAGCAGACAAGAGACAGAAGCTTCTTTTCATTAGCAAGTAACTTAATGAAACCAAAAAAAATAAATAAATAAATCCTTGAATAATCTAATAGTAGAAAACTTGCTTATCTCAAAAGATGAATTTAAAGAAATAGTAAAAAAGTTTTCATATAAATATTGCAACTTACATCCTATTACAGCTTAAAGAGCTATCTATGCCTTTTTTAAGGACATACAACACTTTCATATCCACTGCGGGGCCCCCCCCCCGCCAATCTAATAATTTAAGGAAGTTATACCTATACCAATTACCAGGTACCAGGCCTCTGGCTTAGTTTGACAGAACACAACAAGAAGAAAGCAAAATGAAACACGTTATCCAACTCCTAAATCTGGGAAATTTAGGTAGTTAAAAATGTTAGCGTTAGAAAGAACTCTGACTAAAGCTAACATCGAATGACTTCAGGACCTGAGCAAATTAAAAACGTTTAAAAAAAAAAATATACTTTATTTAGAACACAACATATACCATTAATAGTTTTGAAAGTTTTAGAAACAAAAACAAAATTGCTATGTATGCTATTTTATTTCGAGTTCTTTACTCATCATGGATAATGAAAGAGTAATCAGTTTCACTTCTCTCTCTCCCACTCTTTTTTTGGTCACTTCCTTGTTTAGGGCTATATTTAGGACTATTCCAAATGGTTATATTGCACACCTTAAACTCTTCCCCTTACTTTATGTGCAAGTATTTATATTAGCAATACTATTTGTAAAATCTTCTTAACTACAAGCCTATATTTATAGTTTTGATTACCTACATGTATCTTCATACCAACCTTACCAGTAAGCACTATAGCATTTCCAAACGCATTTTATAGCAATACAATTCTAACATCATAAAGGAAACAACAGTACAAGGCCATCCAATCTGACAATCTTTAGCCTAAGTTTCTTTTACAGATCCAACAATACAACTGCTTCATATTACACTTCACTTACCCACTTACCTGCTGTAAAGTCTTTTCGCAGTGAAGACAAGCAGTTGAAACCTGTGACAACAGGATAGTCATATCTTCTTGCTGTTGTCTAAGCCAAATCAATTTTTCTCGCACATGTGCATCAACAACACTGAGAGCCATTTCCTCCTGACGACAGAGGGTTTCATGGAGGTCAGAAAAATAGGCCCGGACACATGAGCGAGCATTCTCTGCAGTGCCTGGGACCTTGAAGTGTTAAAGTAAAAAAAGATATTGACATATTAATTAAAAAAGTAAGCAGGTCAAAAGAATACAATTCTTTATATTACGCTACATTCCTATTCTTAATTTTAAAACTAAGACGGCTGGCAGATTTGGATCTTAATAGACCCAGTTTTGATGACGGTTTATATCAGCTCCCAAAGCGAGGACCCTGGCACTGGTTATTCCAATAAAAAATAGTTTATTACATATATACATTAAGTAAAGTAACTGGGATAAATAATTAGAAAAATATATCACAATCAGAGAAAAAGGCCCTGGCACACATTGCATTTAGGACATGATTAAGGTATGAATTGTGCCATAAATAGTGACCATGTTACATTACAGCCAATTTATGGCATGATAATATCGCAAACGAGCCACAAAGATATTCCACAAATAACATGCAACATCTTTGTGGCTTGTTTCTATCAGGCTGTAAACTGAATGTGTGGTCTGTTGTGTTTGACCCATGAAAGATCCCAACACTCAACTGAGCGCAGAGATCTGGCATGGAGCAGCCCTAGGGTCCAGAACACAGCCATCCCCCTAATGAATCAAGTGGGACTGAGCTGGGGACAGCACCAGGTCCTGGACCTGGAGCTCCCACCCAATCCCTAGAGGCAGATATGGAAGGCCCCCCATGAGCCTGACATCAAGAAGCATCTCCCTGGTCTCAGGTTCACTGCATCCTGGAATGTTTAAAATGCAGTGTGCAGCTGACTTTGGCCCCAGCTGGACCTGCAGGAACACGTGGCATGGCAGGAGGCATGATTGTTAGGGTTGGTGGGGAGGGAAGAAAAAAAATAAAATAAAATAAAATAAAATAAAATCGGACCCCATCATGCCATTAAATGAACATGTGCCAGGAACCCAAGACACATGGACACACTATATGCCACAATATTTAAATACTGCTTATTTGTACATATAGTTTTCCCCACAGTCTGTCTGACTTCAGTAAAATCAAATGCTACATTCAAGTTCTCCTTGTATTTTTGTCTTCAGCTTCCTTGTAACTTTGCAAGTTGCTAAGCATCACCAACTCCCAATGAATTTACAGAGCCAAAGGTGCTCTCAGCATCTTACAGGAGTGCACCCTTAGTGAACTCTTATGCAGAGAACACCACGCTTAAATGAGTTTGACAGACGCATTGAAATATTCAATGCTATAGAACTTATATTTTGAAAAATGATCTTGCCTCATTCGTTACATGTATAAGAAAAATAAATATGCCCAAACAGATTTTGGTTACTACAAAAACAATTATGCCATACTTGGCTGCGCGCAAGGGGGGGGGGGGGGGAAATGTCATACGTGTTCTGTATGGGCCATTCCAACTCCATCTTCAACTATTTGTTCTCCTCCTTCTATTTGTTGAACTATTCCAATTAGTTTTCTGGAATAATCTGAGATTTCTTCTGTGAAGGTTCTTATACAGTGTGCCATGTCTAAAATGGATGCACGGATCTGATTTGCTTCTGGTTCCAAAACAGAATGCTACAATCAAAAGTAACATACTGAAGTCAGCTCTAGTTGGCTCTCTCATTACCCTCACCCCACCTCATAAAAGATTTTTCCCCCATATTATGCAAAAAGGCTTAAAGGAAGGCGGGGGGGGGGGGAAGTCTTTGGGCTGAATTCAAAAGTTTAAATTTACAAATGACCATCAGGGATTATGTTTTCATATGCGACTGAAACAGAAATATAGCAATCTTACAAATATCTATATAAGGTGAATTTGTCTTCTCCCCCCCATCTTTAACAAAAAAAGAAAAAAAAAGGTGGCTGACCATCACTTAATTCAAAAGGGGTTCTACAAAGTCTACATCACAAACAGGTGATAACTATTTAAACTGGTGGCTCATGCAACAAAGATACAAGTTTGTGACAGACATGATTAGAAGTATATTTTCACCTCAATACATAGATGTGGAATAGTTCCATGGTATTACTGATCATAAGGTATTTCTAACTACAGAAGTTGTCCAAAGTGAAAGAAAAGGAACAAATAGTAGTTAAATAATTGCTAAAATGTTCAATTAAGGTGTGTGTTCCTATGTTCCCCTTCCTAGGTACATTTTTTATTTTAATATATGGAAAAAAAATGATCTACTAAAAATCACATGAGTAACAACAGTACCTTATGACCTTGATGCTTTCCATATTCTTTGCAGACACAACACATAAGGGGACTGGCCTGACAACCTTCTTCTAAACAGACAAATTCAATAGCATGCACTTGATGTTGGGAGCACATGGTCTTCTCATGAGGTTTATCAGCAAGAGGCACACGCCTATGCTTTGCTAGTGTCTTTGTAGAATGGGTAAGCTGGGAACATTCTGCACACAGGTGTGTAGCACAGACAGTGCAATAAACAGATGCAATGTGAACTTCATCCTCATCACAGCGAATGATGCACTAAAATGGAAAAAAAACACTGGTGTAAAATTTGATCATAGTGAAAGAAGAGAAGGAAGAGACATTACCCACTTTCCCAATTCTAAAAATCTGGCCTTCCTTAAATACTGATGAATATTCACTTTATTATAAAAAGCTGCTTTAAAATTTTGTACTCTCTCCCCAAAATGATAAACTAAATGTTTATCAATTGCGCCCAAAGTCCTCATTTTCATAGGTATAGAGTACGTATAAGTTCAATTGACTTTGCTAGGAACCACATGTGTTCAGAGCAAAAGCTAGATCCCAGACCTTTCCCTATACGAGCAATGTTAAATCAACAGGTAGGCCTGTTGAAAGCCTGAGTACAGGTCAGAGCAGAAAGCAGCTGGCGGGGGGGAGGGAATGTCATGGCAGGTGGCTGCTTTAGGCCACCAAACCAGGTGAAAGAGGTAGATGAGGCCTTCTTCAAACAACTGACAGAAGTTTCCAAATAGCAGGACCGAGGTCTCATAAGGGATTTCCCATTACATTGGTTGGGAGGGAAACACGGCTATGCACAAGCAGTCCAGCAAATACTTGGAGCATACTGAAGATAACTTTTTGATACAGGAGGTAGAGAGACCAACCAGAAGGAAAAGCTCTTCTTGGGTGGCTGCTTGTGAAGTGATGAATTGATTGAGAATGTAAAGGGTGAGGGTAACTTGGGTGACAGTGGCCATAAAATGATAGTTTAAGAGCCTAAGGGAAGGAAGAAAAGGAAACAGCAGAATAAGGACACCAGACTTAAAATAAACAAAAACATAAATAAAAATCAACCTGAACTTGAAGCAAACTCAGAGAAGTGGTGGGAGACTAGTCTGAAGAGAAAAGGAAGCCCTCTTAAGGAAAAGGAGAACTGGCTGTACTTTAAGGAGGCTCTCTTAACGGCACAGGAACAAACTATCGCAACGCGAGAGAAAAATAGGAAGTGTAATGAAAGACCAGCCTGGCTACAGAGCACTCTCTTCAATGAGCTGAAACTCAGAAAGGTATTCTAGAAGAAGTGGAAACTTAGTCATATTACTTGGAACACGTGTAAGAGTATTTGGGCGTACAAGGAAAAAAATTAGGACAGCCTAGACACGATTTGAGTTGCACCTAGCAAGGAAGATAAGAGGCAATAAAAAGGGATTTTACATTTATTTAAAAAGTAGAGAAAGACCAAAGAAACCACAGGTTCCTTATGCAATGCAGAAGGCAATCTAGTTACAGATGATGCAGAGAAGGCTGAAGTACTCAATATTTTTTTTACTTATGTCTTCACAAATAGGGGCAGTTACTAGACAATGAGTGCAGATGTCAGCAAAGACGGGGAAGGAGCCAAACAGCCTAGGGTAATGTCAGAACAGATCAGGGATTACTCAGAGAAGCTACAAGTCTTCCAAGTCAGCAAGGCTGGTTGGAATGCACTCTAGGAGACTGAAAGAACTGGCTGAGGTCATCTCAGAGCTATAAACTATACTCTGTGAGAACTTGTGGGGGTTGGGTGAGGTCTCAGGTGTTTGGAAAAAGTCAAATATAGAGTCTGTCTGCAAACTGGGGAATTACAGAACAGTCAGCCTGACCTAAGAGGGGGGGGGGGGGGGGGGGGGGTGGTGGAAATCACTGAGCAAGTAAGTCCTCAAGGAATCTGTTGTGAAGAACCTAGAGGAGAACCAGGTGAACAGCCAGCATGGATTTATCAATAGCAAGGCGTGCCTGGCCAACCTGATTTTCTTCTATGATAATGTGTCGGACTTTGTGGATGAGGAGAAATCAGTGAATATGATATACATTGACTTCAGCAAGGCTTTTGACACTGAATCCCATAAAAATTCTTGTTAACAAGTTAAGGAAATACAGTCTAGACAAAAGTACTGTGTGGTGGATATAAAAATGGCTCTATCACCGTGCTCAACAATGCCATCATTGGCTCAATGTGGCGTTGCAGACACTAAAGAGTAGGGCTAAGATCCAGAATGACCTGGAGAGACTGGAAAAATGGTCCACAATCAATCATATAAGATTCAGCAAGGACAAGTGCAAAGTCCTGCACTTGATATGGAATAACTACATACACAAATACAGACTGAGGAATGACTGGCTAGGCTGCAGTACTCCAGAGAAGGACCTGGGGGTTATAGTGGATCATAAACTGAATGAGCCAACAATATGCTCTTGTTGCAACAAAAAAAAAAAAAAGCCAACAGGATATTAGGCTGTATTAACCTTTTAGTTACTTGCAAACCTCACCTGTCCAGTTTTGGGTTCCTTCACTTCAAGAAGGATGTGGAGAGTTTGGAAAGGGTCCAGTGCAGAGCAACAAAACTGATCAGGGGCCTGGGTGACAATCTATGAGGAAAGTCTGAAAGAGCTAGGGTTATTTAATCTGGGAAAGACTGCGGGGGGATTACATCAGTCTATATCATATCAGCACAGATAAAAGGAAAATTGACGTCATCAATAACTGGCTTTCTTTGGCTGATGTAGCTGATAATGTCACTGATAAATGCCAGGTGTGTGGGCGCAGCCACAGTATGCATGCAGCCAGCATGGCAGCCTGGAGAGCACTGTCTAGCTGGTAAGTCTGTAGGGGGCCACATACAGGCCCCCATGGTGAGGAAGGTACTGGGAGTGGGGCCGGGACAGGAGCAGGGCCTGCCCAACTGGGGCAGGATGCGACATGAGAGAGCCATAAGCAGCTCATCCAGAGGGTGCGGGTAGGAAAGGGGGCAGCTCCTGCTGCTGCATGCACCCCTGAGGGAGGCATGGGGGGGCGTGTGCCCCCCAGATCTGTGCGCAGGACAAGGGCAGGCTGCCACTGCAGGCTGGGGCCCGGGGCAGCGCCAGGCACTTCTCAGCAGAGGAGTTGGACTGGAGCTATGCTTGGGGCAGGTGGCGGCACTGGAAGGGGGTGCTATGGCAAATTCTGGGGTGGCTGTAGCCCACCCTGTAGCCCTCCTCCCAGCACTGCCATTGTCTGCCCTGAGTGCAGCCCTGGCCCAACCCACACACCAGGAAGAGCCTAGTGCTCACGGCTCCATCCCTCATCCTGCCTGGGCACCACCTGCTCCTGCCCCAGCCCCACTCTCTCACACCACAGGGGCCTCAATCTGCCATGTCTCTCCCCCCACAACAGAGTTACCAGCCAGATGCTGCTCTCCAAGCTGCTGGGCGGCATATCTGCAATCAGATCAGTATTGGCCAATATGCCTTGTTAATAAATCGGCCACTGGTATCAGCCCAAAGAATCACTGGTGCACCCCTAGATTTCATAACGGTCTTCAAATACCTTAAGGATGGTTACAAAGAGGGTGGATATGGGCTTCTTCACTGTGGCTGTAGGGGACAGGACTAGGGGCAATGGCCTCAAGCTGTAGCAGGGGAAATTTAGGTTGGAGATTAGGAAGAACTTTCTGACTATGGAAGACGGTCAAGCATGGGGACAGTCTATCAAGATTAGTTGTGGAATTTTTGTCTCCGTACATTTTTAAAAGCAGGTTGGACAGACACATGGTTGGGATGGTTCAATCAGAGACAATCCTGCCCTGAGCAGGGGACTGGACTAAATGACTTTGTGAGGTCTTTTCCAGCCCTCCTTTCCAATGATCCTATCAGTTTGTAGAACTACACTGTCCAGGTTAAGCAATGAGAGCATCCAGTTTTGGTGGAAACTCCTCAAGCTTGATATTCACCAAATATAAAAGGTTAAAATCTGGGAAAGCAAAAGGTGAATTTTCCAGTCTTTAGGTGGTGTCTTAAGAAGCTGTTGAAAGTATGTCTAAACTCCTCAAGAGTTTAACATTAAAAAAAAAAAAATCTAAAGCTATAGTTAAGAGATAATTTTCAGTTTCTCTCTACTTCAGTGCTTATATATCAAACTATAATTATAAGAAAAAATAGGTTCAGTATTTTATACTGTGCAAAACCAAGCCTTTAAATAGTTTGCTAAATTAGCCAGGTAAGAACTGGTATGGACCATTAGGGTTTTTCCCTTCCTCTGTAGCAGAGGGCATGGCCCTCTTACTGGGATCTCTTCAGTAAACATACACAATGTTTACAGAACTAGGACACTGGCCACCACAGTTCCCCTACTTTACCTGTGGTAGGTTAGGATGTTGTCTTGTGTTGTGTCAGGAGTTGTTACTGTGCAGTCATTTAGTACTTGCGTTAGCTTTAGTACTTGCTTTAATAAGTTCTAAATGACTGCACAGTAACCGACATTACTGCGTATTCCTGGCGGCACATAGGTCATTAACAAGCTACTGCGCAGTAGCTTGTTGCCACCGAGCAGTAGCTTCAGCATCATGGTTCGTACTTACTGATGCTACATCGCTATAAAGACGAGCTACACTGGCAGTGTCTCGTGTAGATGTGTCCACTGTGTAGCTTTCCTAAGAGGTTAGAGCAGGTATGCGAAATTATTTGGGCTGGAATGCCACTTTACAAGTTTCAGGGAACTGTTGAGAGGCAGGATGCCAACTGATCTTATCCAGTCCACCACCAGGAGACTGAGGGAGATCTGCACTCCATGCCACTCTGCCGCAGCCAGGCTAGGCTGCACAGAGTGCCTGCTCCTCCACCCCTCCACATCCATTCCTCCAGCTTCCTATTGGTATTGCAGCCCTGGCACCACAGCCAGACAGCCAGGCCCACAAAGGACAGGGCAATATGCAGCATGTCAAGCAGCTGCCCTGCCATCTCGCCACGACGAGTCGCTGCTGCACCACACTAAAAAAGTCGGAGGCAGCTGCCCCAGGCCAAGCCCCTCCCTCCCCTGCAGCCAGCACAGACTCTCCTCCTAACAGCGCCATGGCAGGAGTGGTTCATCGTAGCGGGTGCGAGGGCTACTTGGCACACTCCACTGCACCCCATCCCAAATGGACCCAGTTGCCAGCAGCCACGGTGCCAGGACTGCGCAACCACAGCACCAACAGGAAGCTGGGTGGGAGATGGATGCAGGGAGCAGGGGAGCCTGTGTGCTGCGCAGTCCAATCCAGCCCCAGCTGCAGCAAAGCAGAGCAGGATGGGGCACAGCACTCCCTCCTCAGGCTCCTGAAAGTGGCTGATGGTCCAGAAAGGATCAATTGGCAGGCTGGAGATGGCCCACTGGCTGTATTTTGATCACCCCTGGGTTAGATAATGAATTTGCATACAATAGTTTCAATAAAGATGATCCTGCTTCAGGCAGGGAGTTGAACCAGTAACCAGTGAAGGCCCTTTCCAGCCCTACTTCTCTATGATTCAGAGTTTTGCATAGCTAAAATGCATATATTCAGCTATCATAGCAATTCTGAATTTGCCAAGTGACTAATTCTTCTAGCTTTTGTTAAACAATGAAATTCTCTACTCTGTAGAGAGGCTAAAGCAAGAAGTAACACACACCATTTCTGAATCAATACCTCGCCAGACAGGCCAATAGCTTCTTCTGTTGTCCCACATTGGCCAGCTGAGCCATTTTGCAGTCGCTCCAAGAGTTCCAACAAAGCAAAGTTTTTTTTCAAGCCCCAGACACCGGAATCTCCTATTTTTGAAAGACAGTTAGATTTAAAACAGAAACAAAAAAAACCTGCCAAAAAGTTCCCCAGAAACAAAACACCAAAACCACCACAAACTATTTGGGATTCTTAACAGTCAGATTAGAAAGCAATGTCTGTCTCTGCTGCATTTAGTATAGTACTATTCAAGCGGACGGCCAGATAGAGGTATACCTCAGACTAATCACATCAGAGATGCATAGGTTTTTTGTGAGCAACCATTTACTTCATCAAATGCTATGACAAGGTTAATGCAAATTTTCACATCACAGGATCTGGCAAGACTATTTTTAAGAACTTCCAATATTATAGCAAAACCAGCTATTAAGTACCTACAATACTGCAGCAAAAATGTAAACACAGAAAACTCAAAATCTGTATTTTACTTCCACATATCTGTATAACACAAAGATTTTTTTTCTGATCCACTTTAAATAACCTTTCAGACATTTTACAGGAAAATGTTGGTCCATCTGCAACCCTTACTACCTGTAGCATGCCCACATGAAACCTAGGCACAGCAATAATGTTTCTGCTGGATTTACAGGCAAATAATAGAAATTCATGTTGAGGACCTTCATGCTTTCATACACAAGACAGAAGTTGGATAGCCCTGGTCTAAGCGGTCTCATTCTGCATGCCCCACAGAGCACCACCACCACTGCACCACCTCCGTACCACCTCCCCCCTCAGCACCATGCCATGCAGGTGTCTTGACAGAGACTCCCCCAGTACCACAGGCTGAACTGTGCCGTACCACCCCTGGGAGTGGGAGCAGGATGTAAAGCTGGAGGAGGCAAGGGACTTAGAGACCTCCACTAGTGCCACAGCTGGAGCAGTGGGGAGAGTAGCAGACTGGTAAAAGCTTGAGGAATGCAAAATAAACCCTTTGTGGGTCACTAGTTAGATGGCCCTGATATAGATATTAATCTCTGGAGTACATCTGAGCACAGTGAGAAACTGGAAATAAAATGCATCATCCACAAAACAAGGGCCTGCATACAACACTACCCTAGATGGCCAAAAACACTGAGGGGGGGGGAGCTCGAATCAACATAAGAACTGCCATTTACTGTGTCAAACCATAGATCCATCTTGCCATAGACCCAGTATCCTGGGTCACAGCAGCAGACAGCAGATGCTGAAAGGGAAAGTAAACTGGGTATGACCACGTTTCTTTTCACTGTTCCCTTTCACTTGCAGTCATATCATATCTACTACTCCTGCACCATCACCATTTGGCAGGAAAATATCCTATGACCAGATAAGGACACAGTGATACCCAGCAAAGACTGAATCTTTTTGCATTAATTATATCTGCAGCCACTTTTTATGAGGAATCCAATTTGTGGATGGGGACCCAAATACTGGTTCCTAAAAATCCTAGGAAGAAATCCACTGTCCTTAGCTTCTCTCCTTAGCAATGTACAGAAGCTTTCACAAGTTCAGAGGGAAGGTGCCACAGAAACACCTCTTTCAATGTTCTTCCTATCCAGATGGACATAACAGGTGAGAAATGTGACGGCATAAAAGACAGAGGACCTATTTTTTTGTTCTAATGATTTGATGAATCAAAAGTCTCCATTAAGCAGATTTAATCTAACGAGTACACCACTGGTTCAAGTGTCTTAAATGCTGTTATGATTATCATTACTGGGGGAAAATGACATTCTGAAAACTGGTCCTCAAAATAAAAAAAAGTTACAAAATGATCAGCAATTGGTAAAAACAGATACCTAGGCTGACTGGCACCTTAATTACAATGGACAGCTCCATAAAATATAACATGGATTAATGTCATTGAACCAATGTTTTCAATTCCAGTTGGGCGTGTTCATTCTGCCGCTGTTAAGTGCTAAGGCATCCTTGTCCTATACTGTATCAATAGTTGTGTAATATCATATTCCAGGATGGATTTGATTTATATCTAATCAATTTAAATCATAATTTAAATCACTGGCCAGGAAGCCTCGATTTAATCATTGTTTTCTACAAAAAGTGCATTCTTGTTGTTTGATATCCTCTATTCATTTAACTTCTTGAAACTCTGCACTTTTAGAGAGGTAAGGACTTGATGCTGTGTACATAAACTTGCAGAGAGACAACAGGGCTGGTTGGGTGGGTAATAATCAGGTCTGTTACTTCGCATCTCCATATACTGCTGTTAACAAGGATGTTATGTCTGGAGACAAATATACAGTTTGAGAAGAGAAACTAAGCATGACAGAGATGCTTAATGGGATCTTCTAGACTGAGCACTGAGTCCCATTGGGTAGAGTGGTTTTCTTTAATCTTTACGAATCTATAGAGGAGCCCCTGGGAGCCCTGTAAGATAGGGCCCCTAATATAGTCCATGGCCTGTTGTGACCTATTTATAAAAACTTCTCCAAAAAAAGTTACGTGAATATAGCGTCTCAAATAGTATATCATTAGAAGTTATAATCCCTATTCCATGGTGATATCTTTGATCTTTAACATATCTTAAATTTAAACTATTTTTATATGGGTTGGGGTTTTTTAAATATAAAAAGCATCTTAACAAAAGAAAAAAATTAAAAATACAATTAAATAAAAAAGGTCTGATTTAAAATCTGATTGTTTTATTTAAATAATTGATTTTTATCTACCCTGTCATATTCCAAACCTGCTTCTGTCTGGTCAGTTTCCATATCATACTGCAGAAAATACAACCTCCCATAGTTCCCCTTACTACAAAACTGCCATCATCTCCATGCCATTTTCAAATTGATTTTGAAATGAAACAGGCCAAAATATTGTGATATAGACTTCTATCAAGACAGATTCTATCAGTGCAGATCCTGAAGTACTGAGTAGCTTCAAGAATAGCAACCAAGCAGTAAAGAGACAATGGCCTTTTAGTATTTAGTTGAATACGCATACAGAGAAACAGGGGAAAGATATGCAGCTTTCAAGAACTGAATATATTAGTCTAACATCAGTCCTCTGAACCACTGGCAATCTACTTCAGTGGGAGCCAACCTTTTTGGCAGGCATGCCACAAAATTAACCCTTCATCTTCGCCAAGGGCCTCTCCAACCCCTTTCCTCTGCCTAGTTTTCTGCTCTGCTTCCTACCCTGTGCCTCTTCCTGCTTCCTACCTTATCTGCAGCTAAACTCTGCATCCCCTCCCTAGTCTGCCATGTGACACACACAGGGGTTGCCTGTGCCATCTGTGACATATGTCACAGGCTGGCCACCCCTGCTATACTGCATCAGGATGGTTGCCACTTCTGGGCAAAGTCAACAAGCATGCTATTAGGACTAGGCAGTTCAGGAGGTCAATAGTGACTGGACAAATTCAGACCACATAGGCAGTCTTTCCTGGAGCTTATGCTGACTCAACAGAACCAGAGGTCAAGGATGATCAGATGAAGAAATGGACAACTGCTGTCAGCCTCTTGGGGAGCAATTCAGAGGTCGTTAAATTCCCAGGTGATTCAATTATAATAGAGGTGAAGACTGTTCACATTTAGCATCATTATACAATGATCAAGGAAGGTATAGGACACAATTGCTGATTATCCACCAAATCTGGGGTGGAAGGGGGGGGGAATAATTCCAGTTCCAACTGATGGACCTGCCTGGACCTGTGCTGGGGCCAGACAACACAGCTGCACCTGTGCCACGGCACTTTCCCTCTCTCCTCCCTTCCCACTCCCTGTTCCATGGCCATGGCACAGGTAGAGCTTCTAGCTGGTGTGGAGCTGTGCTGCAGCTGAGGCAGAGGACTTTTCCTGTTCCCATGAAATTAAATAGGTTTTACTGGAACTCTCACTGCAGGTACTCTCCAAAAGGAATAGCTAGACACAAGCAGCAGACACGAATAGCAATAGCAACCAAACATTCCCCAAAATATAGAAGTACAGTATCTTGTTTTTCTTGGGGCTGTATGTTCACTTCCCAGGAGCCATGAAAAACCTGCCTATCATCCTGTTATAAGTGCTAAGATAAGAGAAAAATCAAATGAAATATATGAGTAATCGCACACACACACACACACACGAGTAATTATTATTTAAATGAGCAGTGAATGTGAGAAACGGATATTATTGTTTTTATATAGATATTATTTACATATTTATAAACTGAATGGTGGCAGCCATGGAAAACTAAATGCAAGTTCTCCAAATCCCCTATCTACAACTGTATCAGTGATTCTCAACCAGAGATCGTTTCATGTTGATACCCAGATAAAGTGCAGAAAGATAAAACAGGTCTTTTCTGCAGCAATTAGAGCAGCCTGGGAAAGGGACTTAATTATTTGTATAGCTTGTGTATTTGCATTACACTGCTTTCACACTTGCAATTGCTCATTTTAATTCCTACTTATATTTATCTCATAATGCAAATAATTCCAGCTCCAACTGATGGATATTAAAGAGCACAATTAACGATAGAGCGCATGGGGATGAACAACACTTAAGAGGCAAAATGAAAGATCAACTGTTATAGATCTATACTTCAAAGCCCTTAAATATAAGGGTTTGGATGTTCAATCCTGAAGTACTTTTTCCTTCAGAGGATTTTAAGCTGTTTATATTCATACCTATCTTGTCTGAATACAAATCCTGTCCCTTCTCAGTTTAGCATCTTATCAGTTCTCCAGTTGCTCAGCTTGTCTTAAGATGATTGGGGGCAGAGGAGTAACCTCTTTACAAAACTGAAGTAGGAACAAAAATGCACACAGGCTTCTTGCATTTACTTCTATAAGTTATCATACATTTAAACTTTTCAGGGAACGAAAGTTGTGGCAATTATGTTTCTTAGTACATGCCATTATTTTATATGCTGTGATCTAGCAAAAGCAGTTGCAATGCAAAAGACCTAATTCTACTGGCAAATTTTATTGCTCCATTTACATGTCAGCATAAGCAAGGTATATCTACAAAAATAGAACAAAGTTTCCAATAACAAGCTTCTTGATTCTTTTTAATCTGCTTAAATTTAAGTTGGGGATAGGCACATCCACTACAAGATGCACATCTCCAAAGAAGTCAATTATATACATTGCAAATAACACTATAAAATTATCTGTCAAGATGTTGGATGTCAAGAAGTATTACTTCCTTTCACATTAATAAGTCTGCACTAAAAGTACATACCTTTGATGCACCTGATCAGCTGTCTGTTTTATATTACGAAAAAAAACACTCAAGAGACTAAAATGATGAGGTATGTAAATAGTCCACTTTAATCGTTGTAGACTTCATTTCAAATTCTGCTTAGGTCACAAATGAAAAAGGAGTTAAGTGAGCTCATCTCTCTGCCTAATTAGGATGTTTGTACACATTACAAAACCACTACACAATGTGGCTGTCACCCTAAGAGGAGACATAAGACATGAATAGCAAAGAGAATGTGGTCAGGAATGAGATAAAATGGCAGACCCATGTGAAGAAATTTGAACCAGCCAACAACATCTGTCACTTCCATGCAAACTAAATTCATGAACAATGTTAAATTCCAACCTATAAATAATTCTTAGGCACATTTCACTTTTCCTATTTAAGGACATATTAGAGAGAATACACAGATTAAGTCATCATTTTATTTCACAAAATTCTAAAGTTGTACCCAAGTGATCAAACAGTATCAAAGGCAAAATAGAAACAATATGAAGGCAATGCATTTGATGATGTGTCAAGAGATCTGCATTTACAGATGGGACACATCCAGGTGATGGTAATATAATTTCTGCCTGATGTCACCTCTGATCTGGTGGTAATGAAAGGACACCTACAGGCAGTCACTGGCACAAGCAGCCCTAACAGAATGGCCCAACTGCAGCCATGCCTCATAGGCACTAATGAAGAGCCAGGATACCCTGTGCTAGTACAATGGCATCTTTCCCACTACCGTCTCAAGATCTACATATTATGTTAAGTGGAAGCTGGAAAGGAAAATAACCTTCCTTCCCCCAGAAAGAACAATTTTTCCAGGGCCAACACTCTTCAAAGGAAACCTTAAGGCTTTTCCTTCCAGTGAAGTATTCTACCAGCTTTCCAAACCTGAGATGAGTGTGGGGAAAGAAAAATGGTAGGATCACCTACAATAAGTATTGACAACCTTCTGGAGCAGCAAGCAACTTAAGTGGAGCTATTTTCAAAGGTGAGCCAGTACTTCTGATGCAGATAGCGCTACCCCTGCCTTCCCCCAGGATATTGCTACCCCCACCCCTACAATGTCAACCTGCTACAGCATTGCCACAAATGTCTCCTGTAGCTAAGGCAGACAAGGTTCCTTGGGTGAATTTGATATCTTTTATTAGACCAACCCAAATGGTTGGAGAATAGTTATTAAGCAAGCTTTCGGGTTCAAAAACCCTTCGTCAGGCTAAGGAAGCTGCAGCAGTTGGTGTATCCTCTTCCATCCAGGAAGAGCACAGGCTAAGGCTAAGGAAGCTTCAGCAGTTGGTGTATGCTCTTCCATCCAGGAAGAGCACACACCAACTGCTGAAGCTTCCTTAGCCTGACGAAGGGTTTTTGAACCCGAAAGCTTGCTTAATAACTATTCTCCAACCATTTGGGTTGGTCTAATAAAAGATATCAAATTCACCCAAGGAACCTTGTCTGCCTATGTCCTTAGACCAACACGGCTACAACCCAAACTCCTGTAGCTAAAACACTGCAGGCATCTGGGCTTGGCAAGCTGAATCTGGCCTGTAAGCTGTAGTAGGCTGCCAACCCCTGACCTACACAATCTTAATTAAGAACCTCCAAATCAAACAAATTTTAAAAAGGACCCTCCCACATTTGATGAACAAATGTTTATATAAAGCTGCAGAGACCTGCTAAGACATGTTCCATAAAATAACTAAAAAAATCAAAACCAATTTTAATTTGCCACAACAAAACTAGTCATGACTATAGTATAAGAAAAAGCCCAATCCCTCGAAATAAATACCTACTTCAGAAAGGATGAAGTGTAACTTTTCTACAAGCCATGAATAATGTATTTTGGGAAGCTATTTGAGAGTCCTCCGTGGAGGCTGAATAAATTTAATACAATCATCCCTTAAAAGGCTTGCTTTGCTGCTTTTAGCTCTTATATACTGTCACAACCCAAGGGTGTGATTTTGTTTGTGCGCGCTTCGGCACTGCTAAATTATTTCCCGCCACTCGTAGCTTTCTTTGCAGGGTGCATTTCTAGGTTGCAAAAGAGAAATGCATGGTGCAAGGAGTTCCCACCATTCACATGCAAATTTATGTCCCACTATTGGCTGTTTCTAAATTATTCCCACGTGGCAGCTAGTGATTGGCTTGCTAGCCATATAAGAGGCTTGAGCGGTTTCCGCCCAAGTTGGAGGACTCCACGAACACCAGGAGGAGGAGACTTCACGCTGTGTGAAGATCTCTAAGCGCTGCGGAGCCTATTGGACCCAGTGCATTTCAAGTAGGCAACAGGGGTCTGATCAGCCTCTAGCCTCTCCCCGTCACTGAGCGCAAACCTCGACATATCCCTCTCCCTGCGCGCACAAGTTCCACAGAGCCTAGCAAACTTCATGTAAGTCTATTACAAGTTCCACGGAGCCTAGCAAACTTCGTGTGAGTTCGAGTACTTTCTTCGGTTGGCGCGACGGGCTCGCGGTTTAGAGCCTCCAACCGGATGGGCTAGAAGAATGTTCATGGGAAGGAACTCTAGTCCGCCTCTCTTCTTTTCTATCTGTAACTGCAACTCAAGCAAGTTTTCCTGCCTGCACTGCGACCATCTTCGGTGTAAGTAAATAATCTTTTAATCAACCATTATGCGTCCGTGCCTAATTCCAGCGTGTTGCCTGTTCTCTCCGACCCAGCGTGCCCGGGCTGCTGGCCACAGCCCACGCGGCGCGAAAAAGGGCCCGGACCGCTCCCGGCCCGCACATATACCAAGGAGCCAACACTGGTACAATAACCAGCCTTACCCCCACCACCCCCAAAAGGCTATGTAAACTCATTACTATTACTCAAAGAAGCCATCAATCAAATCCAGCTTTCCTTTTGATAAAGCTGTTCCTGAAAAGAGTCTATAACATAGGTTTTAAGCAATACACAGCTGACCTGAGACTACAAAGTGCAGAAAGTTCATATATAGCTATCATATTCCTCAAAATGGGTGGAGACACCAAGTGAAGTTCCTCCCTAGTTGACTTGACATTCAAACAGACAGCTTGACTGACAGGAGTCTTTCTGACCGACAGTTACACATCTGAATTTAGTCAAGGAAACAGGAGAGAAAAGCCTGAACTCAAGCAGTAGCTCTGGGGTAGGTAAAGGGAAAGCAACAAAAGCAGATCTATTTATTTCTAGTATTAAAACAAGTTATAAGGGTAGAAGACAGTGGTTTTCAACCTTTCTAGACTCAAGGCACTCCCTTCCTTCCCCCCACCTCATCAGGCCAGGCCTGCACCCCGCCCTCCCCACCGCCGCATTGGGCCCAGGGCATTGGGCCCAGGGCTGCTCCCCCCACCTCCCTCCCATGGCCACTTGGGGTCTGGGCCCACTCCACCCACTGCCACTTCCCCCTGCCCCCCCACCCCGACTCTGTCCCCGCTGTCATGGCAGCGCTCTGCCACTACTCCAAGAGCATTCCGGACAGGAAGCACTCAAATGGGTTGTTTCAGACAACCAATCAGAGTGCAAATAAAGTGTTATGGACAAACAAACTAAGGCTTTTATACTATAAGATTTATGACTAATATAAATGTTATAATTCTATCACTAACTAGCACATTAATTGATTAGATGATTATATTATATTCACCCCATTACCACCAATCACCAGATCCAGGTGAAACTGCTGCATGCCTCCTCCAGAAACAGACTGGGAAGTGGCGCATGTGCTCTTACCACAGCCCTTCCCTTTCCAACCCTGCATGATGTCTCCCAGAAACAGAAGCACAGGGCAGGCGCAAGTCTTGTTCCACATGCCTCTGTTTTGAGAGGCACCTCAGCGCTGAACTAAGAGGCTGACAAAGAAAGGTGCACCAGCCTGCCTTACATTATGTGGGCAGGCATGCAGCTTCTACTGTAGCTCTTCTTGGTTTGGCTTCAACCAATCTCCTGAAAAACAAAGGTGTGTGGGGCAGTTTCACCCCTGGCAGCAACACCCTGGAAATAAATTCTGCTGCCACTAAGCAGAACTGCCCCAAGTACCTCTTTTTTCAGGACATAAACTGGAGCTGGACTAGGAAGAGCAGAACCAGCACACCTGCCTACATAATGAAACAAAGGCAGGCTCAGCTTTTTCCTGCAGCCACTTCCCAGCTCAGCTCTGATGCATATCCAGGACAGGTGCTCAGGGAAGTTTCACCCTACAATGGTGAAGCACCCAAGCTGAGAACCACTGGTCTAAAGCCTGGCCAAACCTATGCCTTTCCAGGAAATAGTCATATTTCTTCTTCCTAGGCCAACAGAACAGCTCTAGATTTGCAGCAGACCTGTCCTAAGTCACAAGTATGGGATTCATTTGCATACGCGCTCCTACCAGGCTGCTTTGCCTCTTAAGGTCTACTCAGCCCTACAGTCACCAGCATAGGATAATGTACCCATGCTGGGATCTATTTAAGCAACACTGTCCTTCCTGTTACTAGATTAGCAAGCTCCGTCTTTTCCACAAGAACGCATTAGGCTTGGTGCAAGTCCTCCTCGACTGGCTTGAGTGGTGCTCTCTTACCCAGTTCGGTCACTTGTCGATCAAAAGGGCAACGAACAGCTCTGCCATGAAGAGGAAGGCGGGTCAGGCAGTCATGGCAGACAGTGTGGCCGCACAAGAGCAGCCGAGGAACTTTATCGCCTTGCAAAGAAAACACGTCTTCGCAGACGCCGCACTCCAGAACCTGCGGGGAAGGGGAGGGCACAGCTGTTTTTAAGCCCCGGGCAAATCCAGTTAGTTCCGCCGGCAGCTCTTTCACAAAGGAGAAAAGCCTTTGGCATTTGGGCCGCGGCTGTTCCCCTTCCCCACGCTCAGCCCCGCCGCGGCTTTGGGTGTTAAGACTGGCACGGGCTGCAGCCACGTCCCGATGGGTGCTCCGGGGG